TAGCTCGCTAATGGATTTTTGTAAAAGCATCTAACCATAAAGAACATACAATGTTAAATGAGTTTCCTAAAAAATCTTAAAGTTTTCTACATAACTTTTAGAAACCCAGATATCATATTTTTCTGTACAATATCATCTTTTCCCAAAAAAAATTATTTAGAATTGGGGGGGGGGGAAGACAACTTTTCTGTACTTAGAGAACTTCTTCGCTCTTCAGTTTTCTTCTTTTTAATCGTTTGCTATGAGACCTACTATACAATTGAAAAAAATTATTTATAGGAATTTTACATTTTCAAACTGAACTTGCAAGTCATTTAGAAGCATTAAGAAGAGGTTTGCTAGAAGTTTGACTTTTATCCAAGTATAGAAACTGCTTATTTACAGCCCTTTCACAGAAATGGCACTCGAACAAATTTGAGCAAATGTGCCCAGAACAAGGTGACCCTGAGTTTACGCAAGAGAACTACCCTCTTCATTACACAAGAAAGCAAACCCCAATTGCTTTAACTCTGTCATGATAAATACTTTAACTCTACCAAGACAGATAAATACCTGGGAAAAGGGACAGGGGGTGAGGGTGGTAGTAGGTTTACAGAAAAGCAAGTTACCGGGAAGTACTCTCTTTGCTTCACCATCTTCTGTGCATTGTGAAGGGTGCCCGTTATTAGAAGTCTTAGCACGCTATGGTCTGCAGAAGCAGTACCCCAGAGTAACACAAAATTCAAAGGTTAGCAGCCGGTGCAAAATTTAAGTGCAAAAACTGTTACAGTAGCTCCCTGGATCAGCTGACTAGTGCTGAAATGGTGTGTACACAAGCTGTAAGGCATTGTTTTTCTAATAAAATCAAGCAACGCTCCAGTTTAAGAGAGGGATAGGTAGTTTACTAATGAGTTTTCACTGTCATCTCTCTCTCAAAAAAAAAACCTAACAATTGTCTAGTAGTTTCTAGAGGACTTCCACTTTTGCCAACTAGTAAGCGTATGTGCATTTCACATATGAAATGTGGAAATAATGATGTCTCTGAGGGATATAAGGAAAACATGTGGGAAAAGGAGACTGAAAAGTAGGAATCAGAGACTCCTTTAGAGAAGAAACTGAACTGGAGTGTTACAATGAGACTACACTCGTAGTTAGCACGTTGTGAGACCAAAGCACTAAGCTCACTCATTTGCTTGACAGATATTTTACCAATCAATAGACTCAAGCCAGACAGTTATAAAGAAACTCCGTCAGATTTATCAGGACAAAATTTGAATCCCATGAAATACTATGTATCTTTCTCTTGCTATACCCTAAAGGCACCTGTATTTTGAAAAGGAAGAGAAATCTATCTTAGCATAATTGTGATAAACAGGTATTTCTGTGCAACAGAGAACTTCAAAGAGATACTGCAAGTAAGCTTTAAGACAAGTTCAGTAAGTATTCAAGGATTTAAGGCCTCCAGCTCAAAATACACTGACCCAGAAATTAATTTTTACTTTTGTTTATGCCATTTCAAGGAGTATTTTCTATTATACTGTGAAAGAGGGGACTTAAGTCTAACAGCAGATAGCACAGCCAGGAATTTATCTGCTACGTGTCTTTGTGGGTTGGGGGTAGATTCTTTTTCCAAACAGAAAAGTAATTGGCTCCTTCGAAAAAATACAAAGTAACTGGACAACAGCACTTAGTGAAGCTCTTTTCTCCTTCCCTGTTTAAGCAGAAGGCAGACATACAGGAAGTTTGAGAAAAAGAAACCTAAGAGGCCTTATTAACTTCTGACTGTACTTCTGTCTCAGTTCTACATCCGTAATACGGCGCAGCCCTAATAAACATGAAGACCTATGGAATCATGTTTGATTTCACAGCACAAAAAAAATCATGCAAGCTACATATCTAACATCTTATAAAGCACATTAGTTGTGTGTTACCTGGGTCATCACTTAAGTTGGTGATCTTTCCTTGCCTACGAGATATTGTCGCAGAAAGATCTCAATTCAGCACAGTGAAAAAAGGTGATGCACCCACCCGAGTCTCAAAAAAGTAGCCACATTTGTTCATACAGGTTTCGGCTTCTAATTAAGGCACTTCCACATCACGTTTGTTGACTAAAGAGAAGAGTTCCTTTGAAAGAGGTTCACACTGTTCCTCAGACACAGGAGGTCTTACCACACAACTGGTGGATTCAGTGCCATCAACAGGAAAGGCTACAGAAAACAAGGATCTCAGTGCAAAGTGAGAAACCAAAGGAATGGAAACGGTCTCAGGCTTCGAAAGATTTCATACTCCATTACTTAAGGCCTGACAAGTAGCTGAAGGGAATCTCTATGTCTGTAACCTGGTAACTTGTATTTGGCATGAACAGCAGTTAGCATAACCCATAGCTGAACCTGAAACAAAAATAAAACAAAAGCCCCACAGGAGCATCTGCTGCTGTGCAACTTGGGTTCCTTGAACAAGAAGGGAGGAGATACACAAAGCTGAGGGAAAAGGCCTTGGGAAGGTTTAAAGAAACCACTGTGATTGAGGCAGAAAAAGCAACTACTTTGGGAAGCGGAGGTGTAATTTTTCCCGTTCTCTGTGTCTGGTAAGTAACAAGTGATAAAAACCTGTGAACCTTTTGAACTTGAAGTTGAATGTGCATAAACCTCTAGAGAGTTCCAGGATGCCTGTTCAACAGAATGACAAGACCTTACTAAGAGGGACTGGTGAGATCTTACTAACAGAGACTACACACTGCTGTTTCGTTTGCAACAGTTACTCTAGCAAAATGAAAAAAAGAAAAAAAAAGAGTAAATCATAGGTCATCTTGTCAATTCAGAAACCGACAAATCCAATATATAATCACAAGTCAAACTAGAAAAGAACCCAAATTCATTAGGAGTCATTTCCAAAAGAGGTGACAAGGGCAACACTTGGCTATTCTCAAGGTGTCACTGAATAGCAGAAAAAGATGGTTTTCTCCTTTGTGAATACATCACATGGAGATTAGCCTGTGTCATTCTTCTGCTCACAGAGAGGAATCTCTATGTCAGAGGCCAACCCTTACATCAGTGCCAAACTGTGCCACACAAAGATATGTCTACTTTGGAACCGCTTTCCTATGTGAAGATCAGTGACTAGGGAAGCCCAATGAGGCATTGCCAACATGGTGCTGCTTCAGATTGGCTTTCCTCCATTGCCTCTTGCCCAGTACACAGTCACTCTCCTGTGCAGCAGAAAGCAGTACTGAAGGAAAGAAGTAAAATGAATCCCTTTGTCAAGAAGATCTTGACAAAGATGACTGAGCCTGCACCATCGACAAACTGCAACAGTGTTCCCTGAACACTTTCAGGGAAGAGAACAGTAAATCTGAAGTTAAGAGTTGATCTGTCCTGGACTCAGCAAACATCACAGGAAGACTGTAGGTAGACAGAATGATTACAGAAAAACAGAATGAGATGCAAACAATTCCTTGAAAACCTTGCTAGGTCTAAAGTAAGGAGTGGTTCTTGAGGAAAAGTAAAACTTCGATTCAAGCTATCTTATACTTCCAAAGATTAAAGAATAGCGCTTAAACACAAAGGAAATTCTGCATGCAGCAACAAAGGAATTTATGTACTTAGAGGAGTAACAGGAATGCAAAGGGAATTTACCCTTCCATCACATCTTCATGCAAGAGGAAAAGTTTTTCATGACAATGCAGAACAGGGGCATCATGTTCGACAAACAAGGGGCACAAAGGTTCTCAAAGAAGAGCGGAGAAGAGCCCTAGACCACAGATACCACCAGCTAACAGTGGTCCTTCTCTATTAAATAGAAAACTTACATTTTTATAGAGACTTCTGACCAATCCTCCTGAATGCTACAGTAAGCGTATGAATTAGTAAGTAGTATTTGTTGGTGTGGGTAGACAGGGAGGTTCGCAACAGTATGGATTCACCTTGCTAAAACATTACATGACTGAAGAACTGCAGGCATAATTAAGAATGCCTGACAGATTTTTGCCAGAGTTCATAATCATTATCAACTTTGTAAGTCTGTCCTAAGTTAACTAGGGAACAATTATTTTCATTTCTCAAGAGTGACATCACATGGCAGGACAGATGAATTTCACAACTGTGATGCAAAGAATTGCATACACCACAAAAACAATTGGCTGCACTAGTCTGCCTTTCAGACATTCCTAGTCAGCAACGTTAAAAACAACTAAATTATATGATTATGCTTTAGACAGATTAATAATGCCTTCCTTGTTTTTAATTTAAGATTCATATTCAAATATAAATTGAAAGATTAGCTATTTTATTAAAAGTTGCTAACTGTATAAAATTCCCACATAGTTTTGCTAATGTATTTCTGTATTTTGCAACTATAACAGTTCCCAAGAGAGGCTCAGACTGGAATAGCAATTACTGCCATATTATGTTGTGACTCTGATGTACATAAAAGATTAGCAAGACATTCATTTCCAAGACTTTTTCACTTTTAACACATACACACAAAAGTAAAAAAGGAAAAGGTTTACTGCTCAGACAACTGATATGACTAATAAACAGGATTTTAATAAAACCATACCAAGAATATGTTTGTAGAATGACCTCGTGAAGTAGATGTTCACCAACTGCCTGTGATTCAGAGCGAGCCCCAGGATCTGGCCTGCAAAACGGAAGTAGTTCAAATGATCTGGATTTACAGAAGAGTTGCTGTTGGGCTGGAAAGTTGTTCCTATAAAATAAAAGGATTATCATGTTTCATGACTTTTTTTTTTTTTTAAGTGAGTTCGTATTTATCAAATACACTAAAGCATCTGAAACACCACTGAAAGTTTTATTTTGGGGTTCTGGAAGATTGTTCGGGGTTTTTTGTTTACACCAAAAAGACATCAGAAAGAAATGTATTAGAATGTAATGACATCCTATTATTACAATGATACTGCTTAGCCACTCTCCAAGGCACCACTCTAAAATAATTATCATCAACATAAGGGTAATGACAATCTGCTAAGTTTCATCCTCCATCTTACTATATTGCTATGTGCATTTTTTGCTCACTCTAATGGGCCACGCTTCTATCAACTTGTGAACAAGCTCAAAGGAAGGATCAGAATGCACCTACTTCCTTTAATCTGGCTCCAGCCAGATGCAAACAGGAGACAGTCCAGTCCTGGTCTCCTTGGAAAAGACCACCTCAAACAGACGTCCCTGAACTTTTCCTTTTAACTTTCAGGAACTAATCTATGCCTCTACTGCTGACTGAATTCCTTGCCACTTCTCAAGACTTTGTAAGGTGGAAAGCAAAACATTTATCACTGATGATGATGTGAAATCTTTTATGGATAAAGATTTGCTTTATATGAAGCACCCAAAAGACAAAAAGTCAAACACAAGGCAGACCTGTGGAGATCAACATCTGGGTTTACCACACAAATTAACTGACTGAATTTGTGGATTTCTAAAAGGAAATAAAGGAATACCTCCACAGTTCCCTTGCAGATGCAGAAGAAAGGAAAACACTTTTAATACTGTTCTCAAAGTGCCATGTCCTCCTACTACCAAGCAGAAATACCATGGATTCATCAAAACCAACAACTCGCTCTCCTCTTACAAAAGAGAGAAGAAAATCAAGGAAATTCCAAATTAAGAAAAAAATTTCATCTGTAGTTATAAAAAAAGTACAATGAATAGATGACTTCTCTCTATATATATGAGATCAATTCTGTCAGTGTTACTTGTAAAAAGTAACAATCTTCTATTCTGAAACCAATTAAGTGACTTTTTTCTTGGATTATAAAAATGCTTTTATAAAAGACGACACCTTAAAATTAGGAAAAAAAAAAGGCAGAGACATACCATCAGCTGACTGGGTAAATAAGGCATAATCTGGGTTAACTATTTCACTGGATAAGATATCAAACCATTCACGCACCACACCCTGTCCCTGCATGTCAAAAGAATAAAACATATTAGTACATAGAACTTTCACTGCACAAAGTTACACTGAGTAACCACATCTTTCTTAATAAAGTATAAAAGTTATTTTAAATTAGGATTTGGTTCAAAACAATACTTGTGAAAGAATTAATATTTCCATATATAAATACTATAAAGGAAAACCATGACATTTTACCCACCATGCCTTCTTCTCCATGAAATCTCACAGCAATCCCCTGCTTTAGTTTTGCACAATTTGCTTTAGACACAACTTCACAGCTACTCCTAAAAATAGAATCTAAATACAAAGCACCAATTAATTTTTTATCTTAATTCATTATATTTCAATGTATTTCAAAGATATACTAATTCCATTTATAACACAATACCTCTGTGAACCAAAAGGATGTCATTTTCATTAACAGGCCTGTGCACCATGTCCGAATCTGGCTGCCCAGCATGCAGATGTTCATAGAACCATTCACAGCGATCTTTAAATGGCTACAAAACAAGGGGTAAACCATATTATATAGATGCATTCAACTGAATAATTCCTCTCTCATAAGCATGACTGGAAAGTGGTTATGCATACTTCTCAATTCATTTTTGAGATGTGCAGAGAGTTACTCGGTGCTACCTCAATATGCTATACAGTATTTTGGGAAGAGGAAAGGACTAGACATGCCCTTGAGTACTTGCTGAAGTCTGGTATGCAGAAAGACTGGACCACCAGTTATTCAGAAATAGCTATCAGAGTTCACCGCATAGGAGAAAAATAGCACAAAACTTCTTCCAGGGCAGGGGGGGAAGGAATCTAGATACGAAGTCAGTCACTGGCTTCTGTAACACTACTAACCACAGCTAAGCACAGAAGCACGAGTGACATAAACAAGTCGTATTTGTAGTAAAGTTCATTGGCAATAAAAAACAGCCCAAAGGAACCAGAAACCTTCCAAAGCAATTCCTAGGTGAGAAGGTCCTAGCTTGTTTGACTCGGTATTTAGATTGACATTTTGCAGTTCTTCTGAGACGAGTATGCCACAAGTATGGCCTCTCTCATCTATCATGATTCACAGCACGTACTTTTAGTTGATCTAACAAACAGGGTATCAGTTCTCAGGGTCTCTTCATTATTCATAGGTAATGAATTTCAAAAACACACATTTCAACCAAAGAATGAGTAAACAGTACACATACACTATGTCCTAAAAATGAAACTGGATTACCAAAAACAATGTACATCTAAAAATAAGCGCACGGTACAAATAAAGCTTTTGGAACAGACCCTCCACAATTATTTGGGGGGGAGCGTTCTGGTTGGTTAGAGGAATTTTACCTTTGTTTTCAACAAATTCTGTCTTTGACCAAAACAGTTTAATGTAAGGAACCTTTCTAATTGAGAACAAAGCAAAAGTAAACCAGTGTGTGCTAAATGAAGGAGTTCCAAATAGCTCATTATTGCCCAAAGACCATCTTCATTTGTAATAAAACAAATACACAGCTCTGTCCCTGCGCTACGCATAGACAATCATAATCTTTTAAAGGTAAGTGATGAAAACATAGCAGATGCTTAACACTACTGTGTTATGTAAAGCAGCAGACTTCCATATGGGGGTTTGCTCACTAATTTTTTCCACTTAACTACACTAGCCTTCCCTAGAGTAACTCTTTAGTCTTGAATTCATGTCCCATGTTAAACTGAGAAGTGAGTTTAGGTTATGCAAGACTTCAGGATTTTACTCAAAAAAAAAACCAAAAGGAAATGGTATGAAACAGAGCAAAGGGTAACAAGACAACATGATGTTTCACTGAAGGAGCTGCCGCTAATTAACGATGGCCAAATCAACTAATAGTGGTGTATTTATCCTCTGGTTTGTCTCAAAATGTAAGTCAATTAAGAAAAAAGCACAGCATTTTAAAGCTCAATCTATTAGATGTGCACAAATAGATTTAATAATAGAAAGTTAACTCTGTTTTACTGAAAGTTGGACTTGTAAGACATATTTAACATTGGTCATCTCAAATGGACTTACACATGTATATTAAAGAAGTAGAAGTACAGAAATCTGGCTGCCACGTTTGTTTAATCTGATCTTTCAACATCCCAGATTCAGAAGCACTGGAGGTCCCACTTAGTTCTTCCATCCTCCCCAAATGGATTTTTTTTAAAATATTATTATTTTTAAACAAAACATCCTCTTTATATGCATAGAAGTTGTAACTAAGCATCTCCTGACATTTACCTGAGCTTTTATGATGTGCATAAATCTGGACATTAGTTCAGGACACTCAAGAAGAAAATGAAAGTGATCAAAAATTATTTTGGGATTTCTGAAAGAAAAATAGGTTAGAAGCCTGTTAGTCAGAGATCTAATAATAATGCTTCATGATACATGAAGTCTACATAAAGAGACAATGCAATTAGTCATACAGAAGAGTTCCAACAGACTCTTCTATTTCATAATGTTTTCCTAACTCTTGTTTCCAAATGACTTATACTACCTCATCCTTTGAACATGGAGGATTACAAGCAGCTCTCCAGACAGAAGCAAGGTTATAAATGGGACAGTCCCAGAGAAACTCTGGAAACAGCCAAGTGTACAAAGATGGTTTAGACTCCTTTAAGAAGTCATTAAGTATAACACATTTGAGGAAGAATGAAAGTTTTCATCTGCGTCAAAAGGGAAGGCTTTATTTGGAACAAAGATGAGAAAAGAATCCATTAAGGAAATTATTCTGTTGCTCTGTGAAAAAAATTTTGTTCATGAAATCTCACAGAATCTTACAAAAGGATCACTTACATATGTAGAAGAGTTCATTTAAGCGTGAGCTCTGAATCATCAACATGCACTCCCCTTGAATTTGGCAAGACCATTAAAGTGCATATGGTACATATGTCACAATAATAACCTAAAAATACAACTCCGTATGGAGAAAAATATAAGTATGAATTATTTTGGGGGGAAAAAAAAAATTAGAAATACCGTATTTCTTGAAGCTTACCGGTTAACAAAACACTTAAGGACATCATCGTGTTTACAGACAAATTCTATAAAACGAGGCGATGTCATCCTGTTCAAAAAAATCATAAGATGCTTTTGGTTAATGAAATTGAAAAGAGTATGAGTTACATAAGTTGTTGCTTTTTTTTTTTTAAATAAAATACTACGCAAATAGAAACTGATGTTGTTCAACTAGTCAATCATGAAATGAAATACTCAGCAGCATTAAGGTCTCTAATAAACTAATAGAAAAGGCAAAAATGCCAGTAATCAAGAAGGCCAAGCAACCTGACCACTAACTGTTATTAACTACATGAACAAGAGAAGCTCAAACTAATGGAGATACACATTTTTCTATTGAATCCTTCCAGCTTTCAATACAACAATGGAAGCACAGATATGGAAGGACTGATATTATATGCACAATATACACAATATGCACATTATTCTATATTCTTGTTCATTGTATAAAACTCCCACCACATACCTTGTAAATTGTGGTAAGTGAGGAAAAGAGCCAGGAAAAAATAACCTTACAAACTTAGCAAACTTAATAATGGGGGGCAAGGTGGTATTTAATGGCTTCAAGAAGTAACAAAATTACTTGTCAGGCAAGCGTCTCATACACTAGTATGAAATTTTATTTTTTCTCATATATATATATATTGAGAACAAGGGAAGGATTAACATGGGTGCAAATTTTACTCCATTTATTTATATCTATGTTCTGCATTTTTTTTTAAAGAGAAATTCTTAATTGGATCCTTTAGCTTCAGCAAAAGCTAATGAATACTTGCAAACAAGAATAAAACCCTCTCATCAAGTGCCTTGAAAGGTTGTGAGAAATAGTACTTTAAAAAGACCAGGATAACAATCCTAGAACTGTTGCTGTTCCCCACACCAATTTAGACAAGAGCTGCTCATTTTGTATAAAACTGAGCTATTTTCCTTCTTTCCCTTACTCTGTTTTGAAGAAACAAGTCTCACCATATCCTTCCCCTCATCCACACAAAAAACAAACAAGCAAATAAAATATTCCAGGGACCAAATATAAACATTTTAAACACAATTCTAGTCTGAGAGATGATCTGAAAGTATTAAACAACTAAAAGTCTTCCCTGAAAGAAAATTAACACTCTCTACCTACATCTACACAAAGCTGTAAGATGCAATATACAGAGGGGGAAAAAAAAAAACCCCTTAGCATACACTCATCAGTTTTGATGCTGAAAACGCGGAACACTGTATTTCAGTATATTAACAAAGAATGCCTAGATTCAATACCAGCATTTGCAGAAGAAAAGCAATCATGGCAAGTAAAAGAAAATAACCTCAGTATTTCAAATGTTAACCAGCATGAAGTGTCATCTTTATTGTATGAATATTAGGAACAATGGAAAACTATGAGCTCTGTTTACTCTCCTCCATTAAACATAAAGACACTCAAATCTAAAATTAGAGCCATTTTAAATTATTTTGTCTGAAAATGTCATTTGTTATAATTTCAAATGTTATTTGGAGATGGCAGCAGTATTGAGTTACACTACTGTGCCACTTACTCCTATTAATATGAAAACTTCAGTAAAACAGAGTAAGTCTCAGATCTTTGTACTTCTCTACACAGTTCTGAAAAGCCCTAAAGCAACACAGAATTCAGGTGTGCTCTGCCTTACTTTCCGGCATCCCAGGGAGTTCTCCCAGTTGTCACCAAAACAGTTCTTACTCTCCTGGCTTCTAGGATAACAACTCTCAATTAAGCTTATGTAGCATCCATGGGAGTTCTCCCTAACCTGAAGCGTAAATTATGCATAGGGACAGACCCATTGGGCAAGGCCCGTCAGCAAGTCACCTGGACACAGGGAGACAGTCACCTCTCTGACTGAATTTCAGTATAAAGAGATAAATTGGGGGTGGGGGGGAATGTACTTAACTTCTATAAACATTTCCACTTTTCATTTGGCTGCTGTAAATAATACTTTACTGGCATTTTATCTTTAGCAAGGTTTGATGGAGACTTCAAGGGAAATGGCTAACCAGCAGTTCCTTTTTCAAGGTGGAGTAAAATTAAAAATGAAAGTACTGAGGTGCTTGTGGAACATGCTGATCCCCAGATTGTCTTCCAGTGTCCACAGAGGAGCATGCCCCAGACAAACAGTACTGACCAACTTGAAAGCTTTTATTCCACTAGGTTTGACAGAGAAAGAAAAACCCTTACTGTGGCTGGGAATAACCAAGAGTTGTCATGTAGTGGGAACCTTGCTTCCAGATTCCTCAGGGAGCTTGTAATACCATCATATTTGCCTAATCCTACACTCAAGAGGGTCAAAGGATCCTTTCCTTGCAAGTTCACAAATATAATCTCCATCCTTTATTGGATGCAGGGGGGAACATTGTCACTGAGGATGAGGAAAAGGCTGAGGTACTCAATGCCTTCTTTGCCTCAGTCTTTAACAGGCAGACCAGTTATCCTCAGGGTACTCGGCCCCCCAAGCTGGAAGACGGGGACGGCGAGCAGAATAAACCCCCCGTAATCCAAGAGGAAGCAGTCAATGACCTGCTACGCCACCTGGACACTCACAAGTCTATGGGGCCGGATGGGATCCACCCGAGAGTGCTGAGGGAGCTGGCGGAGGTGCTCGCCAAGCCAGTCTCCATCATTTATCAGCAGTCCTGGTTAACGGGGGAGGTCCCGGACGACTGGAGGCTTGCCAATGTGACGCCCATCTACAAGAAGGGCCGGAAGGAGGATCCGGGGAACTACAGGCCTGTCAGCCTGACCTCGGAGCCGGGGAAGAATATGGAGCGGTTCATCTTGAGGGTGCTCACAAGGCCTGAGCGGGACAACCAGGGGGTCAGGCTCAGCCAGCACGGGTTCATG